GTGGGCCTGACGTCTCAGATCGAGGAATGACCGCTGGGTAGTTACCCTCGTGAACCGGCATCGGCCGTACAGTTACTTACGTCCCCATCCAAAAAATGGCTGCTTCGATGAAATTTGCGGCTGTTTTATGGTTCTCCTGCTGTTTCTTCTTGACTTTATTTCGAGGCCCAATAACTTTTCTTCTAGATATCCTTCGTAAACCGTTAGTTCAAACGAGACATTAATGATACAACAAAGTGGGTTGTAAACCTGTGATAAATATGCACTTTCGAGTTGCTGCCCTGTGTTGCAGTAGGTAATTAGTGTTAAGGCCGGAACTCCATTATTTTTTTTTTATTTTTTTTGTTGCGCTGAAGAGACGCATATCGCAGGGCTGAGATGGGAAGCTTTGCTTATGGAAGCAGAGGACTCAAGCGCCGCTGCCCAGACATGGTACTTCCTACCTGACGCGGCCTTCGACGCACTTGTGGCCCAGATACTGTGCGTGCGATAAATCCACTCGGCCACTCATGGCCACAGTCTTTCGCGTCACTAACGTCGTCGAAATGTCATTCCCACCCATTTAGTGTGGAGCCCGAATCGGCTCGCGAGACCCCATTCGTACGGCGCAAAGACGACGGATCCACGCTCCTACACGTCGTGGCAGGGTGGAAGCATTCGGAGCAGATCGTACGTGACCTGATAGAAGCCGGCGTACCCCCGGATGTCCGCGTACGTCGAAAACAACGAATATATTTCCATTACGAAAGCTAAAAAAAAATATAATTCTATGCGTAGGACGGTTCCGGATGGACTCCTTTACTGGAGGCAGCGCAGGAGGGTCAATTTGCAGTGTGTCAAGCATTACTGGAGGCGGGGGCCACTCCAGATCTGCCCTGCGGAGAGGTGACGCCACTACATGCAGCAGTCGAAGTAGGCAACGAAGAAATGGTGCGGTGGCTACTCCGCCAGCCCGGGACATGGCCAAGACGATATAACGGAGAATTCTTTGCCTTTTTACTCGAAAAAGTACCCGAAGCAGTGACAGACTATTTGGATGTTTTTGCTACCGTTCTAAATCATTCGCACAAGGGGTACGAAGCGGTCAAGTATACGGATCTGAAGGTAATCTATGGTGAACCCATCGTACCAGTGAGTGATACGGCACTTGCATTAGTGGCCGAGAGCTCTGCTGCACATATGATACTGTCCCACCGACTGATGAGGTTAATATTACATGCAAAGTGGCATAGTTTTGCGCGGACCATGTTCCGACAAGAACTAACAGCGTACACGTTGCTAGTGGCGAGTTATTTTATCCCGACAGTATGGGGTAGTCCAGATTGGATTCATTTGAAGACAAAAACTCACAAAATGGTGGCTGCTCTGCGCTTTATTTCGTGGTTATTGAGTATTTTCCTGCTGCTTTGTGTTGAACGGAGTGAATGTCGAGGTGAAGGAGTACGGAGATATTTTTCATCGTTCTGGAACTGGATCGGTGTAACCACCTATGCGGCCATTATATGCTCAATTCCATTGGAATTTATATCGTTCTCGGAGTTAACGCAGCAAGCACGCAACAGTGTCCTCGCCTTGATCATAGTTTGCTTATGGATTAACTTGTTGCAGTTTCTACAAATGTCCCGAAACAGTGGACTTATTATCGCGATGATGGTGCACATGGTAAAGGATATCTATCGATTCTTTTTACTGTATTCCGTGTTTTTACTGGGCTTTAGTGGGGCGTTTTACCTGCTACTGGGGGGAACTAGTGGCTACGAGACTTTTACCACCTCCTTTATCACAGTCTATCTCATGCTGTATGGTCAACTTACCTACGACAATTTTAAGGATGCCAAAGGATACACCTGGTACACGAGCAACTTCTTGCTCCTCGTACATCTGCTGAGTGCCGTTGTAGTGCTTCTCAATATTCTCATCGCCATGATGGCCACGACGTATGCCGAGGTGTGGGACGCAGCCGAGGCTGAGGCATTACAGTCACACGCGCAAGCCATCGTACGTTTGGAAAAGGCTCTTACGCCTAAAGTTCGTCGTGAAAAATTCCTCGAACTACTTGCTGTATCCAAACCAAAGGCTGGCACACGAAGTACTCGAGAACGGCAGTACACCGTTCAGAAAGAGGAAGAACCGCAAGAAGATCTTT